AGAACATGATGTGTGTGTGTGTGTGTGTGTGTGTGTGTGTGTGTGTGTGGGGGGGGGGGGGAGAGAGAGAGAGAGAAGTATTCATATTAACTTTTTAATTAAAAAGATCACTATAAATTGATTTCTAATGCATTTTACAAACCACCTTATCAAATATTCATTAAATTTTGATTCCTAGATTGGGAATATTACATGAAATAAAGTTATAGTGTGCCTCAGACCATGTAAAAGCATGATAAAAAAATTAAACAATCACTAAAGATATCTTGTTTTCTACATATGAAATGTCATTTCAACTGGCAAAAAGTCTATTTGTTACCGTGCCTCACAGGTAGAAAACATTGGTATCTGAAGATAATTTTTTTAGTTTTATCACAGTGCAAGAGACGTATACAAATTTTTTCATCATATTTCAGGAAGGAGACAGAATAGGTCTGATAAAGAAATCCAATGGCTGCCTCCACTACTACATCAATGGTGTAGACCAAGGGGTGGCCGCCACCAAGACAGCACAGATGGTGTGGGGTGTGGTGGATCTGTATGGGATGGCTGTCAAAGTAAGGGAAGCTTGCTCAGTGATGGGATTGTTTATTTATTTATTTATTTATTTATTTATTTATTTATTATTGTACATTTATAGTGACAAAAAATCTAGTTGAATGAAATTTCTAAATCAATACATCTTAAATAAATCTTTACTTCCTTTTCGGTTCAAGTTAAACTCAAACATCATGAGTTAATTGTGTTGATTTAACAATCTTACCGTGATCATGTCCATCCTCATCATCATTTTTATTATTATTATTATTATTGTGGTGAAAATCTAACACCCCATTTCCATAGATTAGATTGACCTACTTTAGATCGACCTAACTCCCTGGGGGTTCACGCTAAATAGCTGTCAGCCGGGCAGACACGAAAGTTAATTACCCCTTACAGCTTGTAGTAGGCGGGACGGACATTTAAGTCGGATTATCTGAAAGTAATCTAGTGAGACTCCATGCGGGGATAGATCGATCTAAAATCTATGGGAATAGAGCCTAAGTGAATGAAACATAGAAGTTATCAACTCTCAAGATAAACATGCAATTTTTAGCAATAAGAGAAATCAGACGTAATTTAAATCTGAGAAACAAGGGCACTGCAGTACTACCTTTTCAGTTTAAGTTAAACTCAAACACGACTCATTTGTTTTGATTTAACATTGTTATGAGTATGTGCAGGTGACCATACTGGATCCTGAGGAGTGTCCATCTGAGCCAGCTGCTCTAAACCGATCACTGACCCACATCTTCCGCACCATGAGAGACTCTATGACCAGTGCTTATGACACTGATGGTAAGATGTCTGCAGAGATATTGTTGTTGTTTTTGTTGTTACTGCTAAGTGAAGGTACACACTGGAATGAAAGTTTTGTCATTTGTATCAAGCAATATACCCTGTTTTATTGTCTGTAATACTTGAAGTCTGTTATACTGATGTGTACTTCTTTTTCTAGTTAGATGGGACTGAGACTTTTATGTTCAGTAAGTTATAGGCCAGTGTTTGGTTAATATGAGGCTGTTATATGTGAGATCTACTTCAGTTCCTTGTATGTACGTAATTTGTATGTATGTAATGATGACCTTGTATGTAATTTGTTTGATTTTCAGAAGAAACCAGGGAAGAAGTTGAGAAGCTACTGTTTCATCCACGTTGTGGTTCACATGCTTCAATTATAAATTGGCAGAGGACAGCATCAAGGCCTAAGTATGTCTGTTAGATGTATTCAAATACATAGAAATCTTACTTTTAGTGACAGCTTTGAGAAATATTGGTGTTACTGATACTAATGTTTGAATGTGTATCATTATAAGCTTAAAAACAAAACGTAAACTTAAATTCACACAATTTTCTAAAACTATTTCCTCAAATCTCTGTTGTCTCTAAGTGCTATGGAGGACTTCAATCATGGCGTATGCATCACCAACCGCTTCCTGCGTCCAGGTGAGACTTTTGAAGTGCAGATCGACAAGATGGTAGAGAAGTGGGCGGGGTCTATCGAGATTGGCGTCACTACCCACAGTGCAACTGACCTAGATTTCCCTTCCACGATGACAAATGTTCGCTCTGGGACGTGGATGATGACAGGGAACGGAGTGATGCACAACGGGACCACCGTCATTGATGAGTATGGACAAAACTTGGACAGATTAAAGGTAAATGATATATGTGGTCAATAAGGGCGTATTCCAAGAGCTTTTAGATCGAGCTATCCCCGCGGGGAGTCTCACTAGATTACTGTCNTCATAATAATAATAATAATAATAATAATAATAATAATAATAATAATAATAAATTCCATAGATCCGTATAGAGCGTCTGGTAGACAAGTGGTCTGGTTCTATTGAGGTTGGCATCACCACCCACAACCCCGTCACTCTGGACTACCCTGCCACCATGACCAATATGAGATCAGGTAGGTTCTGTTCACTTCTGAGTTGTCTTGGTTATACTGATTAAAAATCTACTGTTCTGGGGCAGAGACAGCAGCCATTAACTATACATTTTGATGACCAAATTTTACTGGTTTCACTGCAGTTTATAATATAATATACTACAGCTGCCCACATTTGCTGTTTTATGTATATTGTGTTATATATTTGACAAGTGAAGCAAGGTCATATTTTAAAATCCTGTGCCCCCTTTTTGATTAAAACAAAAAAAAAAAAAGTGAAGGATGTGCCAGTTCTGTGGCATTCACACATATAACTACCAGTCATACATCTGTTGTTTATATTTTGTGAGAGAGGCAGGACAAAGTATAAAAATCTTGTGCTTACCTCCCCCCTCTCACTCAGGGAAAATCCTGGATTCACCAACATTCATATAGTTACACAACTAGCAAACCATATTTTTGCGACCATTCCCAGACCCTATCATACTTACTGTGGATCTATCTATCTCCTAGAGGATACTCACAAAATTGCAATCAATAAGCGACTTAGATGTCTGTCACACCTACTGAAGCTGTCGGGGGGGGGGGGGGTATTAATCATTTAGCAGCTTCAGTAGGTATGCCAGACATCTAAGCCAATTTAGGGAGGAACCCCGTGGAGATGGACTGATCCTGTTAGATTGATCTAGGTATGGGAACCCAGTCTTTGTTGCACATTAATCTTACCTGGAGGTATGATGTGATGTTTTATCTCCTGTCAGGTACTATTATGATGAGTGGATGTGGCATACTGACCAATGGCAAGGGAACCAGGAGAGAGTATGGCGACTATAACCTGGATGAACTAAGGGTAAGAACATGATGTGTGTGTGTGTGTGTGGTGGGGGTGGGGGGGGCATACTGACCAATGGCAAGGGAACCAGGAGAGAGTATGGTGACTATAACTTGGATGAACTAAGGGTAAGAACATGGTGTGTGTGTGTGTGGGGGGGGGGGGGGGGGAAGGGACAGAGAGAGGTTTCCTTATAATTTTTTAATTAAAAAAATTCCTAAAAATTTATTTTATA